CCATGGGGTCACGGGAGCGCCTGCGATACCGGCTCGGCCTCCTAGTTTTCGCCCGAGGCCGAACGGCTCGTGCTGAGGCACGACTGGTTTCTAGCCGGCGTCGTCCTGACACAGGCGGACTACGCGCTCCGAGCTTGCTCTTCGGCCGCCACGATGTACAATTTTCACCTCCTGGATGGTTCGGTCTTTTCTATGTTTTGCAAGAAGGTCACAGGATGGCCCAGGGACAGCCCCGCGCGGAGACGGGACCGCCCTCCGTCCCTGTACTCGTGGACCAATTTTCCACCATCGCTAACACAGGTAGGAGAGAGGGGAGGAGGAGGAGGAGGAGGAGGAGGAGGAGGAGGAGGAGGAGGAGGAGGAAGAGGAGGGGGAGTAGGAGGAGGAGGAGGAGGAGGAGGAGAAGGAGGAGGAGGAGGAGGAGGAGGAGGAAGAGGAGGATCTCCCCATCCTCCCTTCTCCCCCGTCCTGCCTATGGTAGTGGTGGTGGAAAAGTGGCCCATCATTTAACTGGTGTTCAGTGCTGGTTTGCTGGCCACACCCCGAGAAAGACTTTAGCGACAGTCCCAGTTTGAAGATGAATGAGCCGCCCACCCTCCGTGTGACGGCTGCGCGCTGCACAACGTCATATTTGTCGCAATTGTATGTTGAGGAAGTCTCAGGCGACACCCCCGTTTTGAAAGGGCCCGTACTCAACCCGCGTTGCTGCCGGATTTGTTCAAGGTGAGTGCGCGCGCCGCCAAAGCGTCTTCCCGGTTGGGGGTACTCCGATTCGCTTCGATCTCACCCCCAATCTCCAACCAATGCTTTCAGCACGCGCACCCCGTGCATCAACAGCTGTCCTGCAGGAATCGGCGCCGAGGCTCGCTGGACAGGACGAGGACGATCCGTTCCAGGACGAGGACAAATCCGTTCCAGAGCGCTCCAGAACGCTTTTTCAGAGCGTCCAGGAACGCTCCGAGGTGGCCGCGGCGCCCGAGACATCTTCCAGAGCCGCCGGACCTCGCAGAATCTCGGTTTGTCCTCACCGTTTTTGGGAAGTCCTGCCGCCGTCTGAGAAGGAAGACCTTCTCCTTCTCACTTCCCCCAGGAGGAGGAGGAGGAGGAGGAGGAGGAGGAGGAGGAGGAGGAGGAGGAGGAGGAGGAGGAGGATAGGAGGGGAGGGAGGAGGAGGAGGAGGAGGAGGAGAGGAGGGGAGGAGGAGGAGGAGGAGGAGGAGGAGGAGGAGGAGGAGGAGGAGGGAGGAGGAGGAGGAGGAGGGGAGGAGGAGGGGAGGAGGGGAGGGGGAGGAAAGCACGTGGCCCGTTCTTCGTCGCGAGGTGTGCTGGCCGCAGGCTGTCGCGGCAGGGCGGCTGGAGCTCGGACCTCCCCTCCTGCCGGCGCCCGGCATCGGCGGCGAGCGAGGGGGGGAAGCGAGAAGGCCCCTCCTCCTCCTCCTCCTCCTCCTCCTCCTCCTCCTCCTCCTCCTCCTCCTCCTGGGAGAAGTGGGACGGAGAAGGCCGTCCTTCTCAGAAGGCGGCAGGATTTCCCAAAAGCCCTCCGGCCTTCTGAGAAGCTTCCTGTGTCTTCGAGGAAGGCTTGGGAAAAACTTCTCGGAAGGCCGGGGGCCTTCTGAGAAGGCCCGCCCCTTCTCCGTTTCCCCCCCGGGCTCACCGCCGAGGTATGGAACCTGCTGGAGGCCGTCGTGGTGCTGGTGTCGTGCATGTCTGCGTGGCTGCCCGGCCTCGACGCGGCCGGGGAGGCGGTGCTGCAGGCGCTCTCGCCCCTCCTGCTCTTGGGAGGCAGCTCCTGGGAGGTCCATTTCCGACTCGGCGCTGGCAGATCTCTCGTCGAAGATTTAGCCTGATCCAGCTCCGTCCTGGTTATAATCCCGCTCAATCGGGCTTGATCCCGCCTGATTCGGCTTCGTCCCTGACCTAGTCCGGCCATATCCAGCTAAGTGGCTCCGTCATCAGGCTCACTCGCCCTCAATTGTATAGACGAAGACCTCCCAGGAGTTGCCGCCCGATTGTTCTTCCCTCTCCTCTTCCTCCTTCTCCTCCCCCTCCTCCTCCTCCTCCTCCTCCTCCTCCTCCTCCTCCTCCTCCTCCTCCTCCTGCCCAGAGCAGATGTCGCGTGGTCCGTGCGGCGCAGCACCCTGGCGAGGCTGGGGCAGGGTGCCATACGATCTCGGTGGCCCAGACAGCCGCTGCTATGATTTCCTCCACCCGCGGCCCCGGAGGTCCCGATCCCCAGACCCCCGACGTCATGATTTTTTCATGACGCGACCCCCAGAGGTCCGGACCCCTTCCCCGGGACCGGTTTTTCGTCCTGAGTCGTTTTTTGACGGTCCCGAGGGCCGGTAAGGGCCCCCAGAGGCGGAAAATAGCGAAAAACCTCCCGTCGTGATTTTTTCCCGACGCGAGGAGGTCTGGATCCGCGGCCCCACGAGCGGTTGGTCGCCCCGGATCAGCTGTCGATGGTCCCCGGGCCCGGTGATGGGCCCCGGAGGCCGACATGCAGGAAGCATCCACCGGATGGCGGGCCCCGGCGGCGGGAGCCCAGGAGAAGTCAGAAGACCATCTCTTCGGATCTCTGGGGCACAGCGAGACGAGCGGAGCGCGAGTGAGGGATCGACTGCACAACTTGTGCACGCCAACATGGATTTTCGCGTCGAATGCACGAGAGAAGTACGTATGATGTTCGTAAGTCTACGGATCATTCTACGTCTTTTCGTAGCCTCGACGAACCAATCAGATTTGGGGGTCACTGGGATTGAAAAAAAACATCCTCAGACATCTCGGTGGAAGTGGGCCTTCTGCGCCGCAGCCCCCCGGAACTGTTCTGCCACACGCTCTTGAATCCCGCCTTCCCCCCGCTCCCCATACCTTCCCAGATCCACCTCTCAAGAGCCCGCTGCCCCTCGAGGAGGCCTCCCTGAACTCTGTGTCGCGCGCGGGGTTCAGGAAAAGCCTCCTCGCGGGGCAGCGGATTCTTGAGAGGTGGATTTGTTCGCCGAGAAAAAAATCTATTCTCGGGAGAATCGACGATGGTTTGTGTCTCTGTGGAGGGAGGAGGGAGGAGGGAGGAGGGAGGAGGAGGGAGGAGGGAGGAGGGAGGAGGGAGGGAGGAGGGAGGAGGGAGGAGGGAGGAGGAGGAGGAGGAGGAGGAGGAGGAGGAGGAGGAGGAGGAGGAGGAGGAGGAGGAGGAGGGGAGGAGGAGGAGGAGGAGGCAGGAGGGAGGAGGAGGAGGCGCCACTGGGCTCCTCGGCTCTCCGCGGGGGCGCGGCAGAGGCGCGGAGGAGCGCCCTCCCTGCCGATCCCCTGGCCTCGGGGCGGGCGGCCCCGCTCCCCCGAGGGCGAGGGCTGCGGCCGCGCCCCCCGCGGCGGCCCGCGGAGGCCGGGCCTGTGGTCTTGGCCGAGGGCGGCAAGGAGGGGGGTGATGACTTAGGGGGGGAGGGGGACATCATGGCGGGGGCCATGATGTTTCCCCAGATTTTGTGGCGCCTCTTCTTGTCTCAAGGCGTCCCTGGCCCCCCCGCTGGGCCGCGCACATGCCGCCGGTCACGATTTGCACCCCCCCCCTCTGGAAACACCCCCCTCTTGGCCGCTCCCGACGTGGCCGAGGCTGTCTGCCCCGGCCCTGCCCAACCTCCGCCCCCCCGCCCCCTGCTCTCGAGCAGGGGGTCGGCTGCAGGATCGATGCGCCCCTAAGACGGATGTCCTCCCCCGCCCCCTTCTTTTGGGGGAGGAGGAGGAGGAGGAGGAGGAGGAGGAGGAGGAGGAGGCGGAGGAGGAGGAGAAAGAGGCGGAGGAGGAGGAGGAGGAGAAACATAAAAACGCGGAGGTCCGCGCGGGCTTCTCGCATCGGCGCTGGGCCCCCCCTGGCGGCGCCGCCCCTGGCGGACCTCCGCGCGCCAGGGGGGGGGGGGGTCCAGCGCCGATCCGAGAAGTCCGCGCGGACCTCCGAGTTTTTTTATGTTTCCGTCACTTGTTGTTCCCCTACTCCTCTCGAGGAGGGGGTCGGCTGCAGGATCGGTGCACCCCAGGACGGACGTCCTCGCTCGTCGAAGCGGCGCAGCGCGTGCCCGCGCTGCCCCGCAGACCTGCGGGCTCGCCTGCGCTTCTTGTTGCCCGGTGGGGTCGAGGAGAAGAGCAGTTTGGGGGTACATCGGTCCTCCTCCTCCTCCTCCTCCTCCCCCTCGTCCTCCTCCTCTCCTCCTCCTCCTTTCTCCTCCTCCTCCCCTCCTCCGCTCCTCCTCCTCCTCCTTTTCCTCCTCCTCCTCCTCCTCCTCCTCCTCCTCCTCCTATTCCTCCTCCTCCTCCTCCTCCTTTTCCTGCTCCTCCTCCTCCTCCTCCTCCTCGGAAGGGCGAAGCACAGACACAAAAGAAGCGCCGATCCCCAGGGAAACGCGTGGAGACGTCTGGGAAGTGGAGGGGCAAGCGAGGCTCCAGAGCGAATCTGTGGAGAAACACGGGGGGCCCGTTCCCCGCCCCGTTGGGTCGGGAGGGGAAGCAGGACGCACAGGCACAGAGAGTCGCCGATCCCCAGGAGGGCGTACGGAAAGCACGTGGGCGGCGGAGGGGCCCATGTCAGAGAGACAGGCATCGGGTTGGGAGGACGGGGCTGGGAGAAATGAGGATGCCCTTACCCGTGGGCGGCCGAAGGTCTCGTTCATGACGTCCAGATGCTATTGCTCTTTGCCCTTCCTCCTCCCAACCTCTTCCTCCCGACACGAGAATCGCTCTCCTCAGAACTTTGGGAGATGTGGACAAGTGTGGGCCCCTTCCCCGCCCCTTCTCAGGGGGAGAAGCAACACTCAGACACACAAAGAGTCGTCGATCCCCAGGAGCACATGGGAAAAAACATGGGAGGCGGATGGGGAACACGGACATCCAGGAAAGATATGGGGAACATGTTGACATCCTGGGATTCGTGTCTATTCGTTTGTGTGTCCCTGGCCCCCTCCAACTTCCCCCTCCCACTGGGCCCGCACCGTGCACGGCCAAGCCGCAGCCGCACTGTGCCGCGTAGGTGATCACCGTCCTGCGCGCGCTGCGCCTGATGCGCGTGGCGCGCATCGTCTCGCGGGTGCGCATCTTCCACGAGGCCCTCTAAGGCAGCCAAAGGTATGATGACAGTGATCGGCGGCGAGCGAGGGGGGGAAGTGAGAAGGAGAAAGAGAAGGCGGGCTTCTCGGAAGGCCTTCTGAGAGGTTTTCTGTGTCTTAGGGGAAGGCTTAGAAAACTTGTCAGAAGGCCGGGTATCTTCCGAGCATTCTGAGAAGGCCCGCCCTTTCTCACTTCCCCATCGGACGCGCCGCCTAAGTGAGATACGGTCGGACCGAGGTATAAGATCGAGGTCGGTTCGGGGAGGGCACCCCAGTGTCTCGTGCTTGTTGGATGTTCTTGTGCATCCTGGGGGAGGGTACCCTTGGATGCTCTGTGTGTTCTGGCCGGCGGAGGGTCTCATGCTCTTAAAGGGTGTTCTTCTGTCCTAGGTCCGGCCGGAGTCGCACCTCCCCACCCCACCTCGGGAGATGTGGATGACAAGGAGGAGCAGTAAGGATACCACGAGGAAGAATTAGAAGAAGCGGCAGGACGGGATTCGCCTCCGCCCCTGGGAGAGGGGGATGACAAGGAGAAGCAGTAAGAGAGGGAGGACGGGATGGACGGGGAGCACGACGACGACAACGAGGAGGAAGAGAGGGAAGAGGACGACGACGACGATGAGGACTAGGTCTAGGACGAGGACGAGGACGACGACGACGATGACGACGAGGACGACGAGGACGAGGACAAGGAGGAGGAAAAGGAGGGGGGACGGTTGTGGAGGAGACGGAGGAAGAGGGAAGATGGCGGGGTGAAGTAGTGAGTAAGAGGAGGAGGAAGAGGGGAGTAGGGAGTAGGAGGAGGATAGTAGGAATGAGGAGCAGGAGGAGCAGGAACATGATGAGGAACAGGAACACATCTATGACAAAATCGTGACGGCAAGCCGGAGGACAACGACGAGGGCAGAGAGGAATAGAACGATGAAGTGAGGAGGAGGAGGAGGAGGAGGAGGAGGAGGAGGAGGAGACGGAGGAGGCAGAGGAGGCGGAGGAGGAGAAGACGGAGAGGGGAGGGCGATGTGGAGTCGGCCGGACAGCGATGATAATCACAGCGTCTTCCTATGTTTCTCGGCTGCCCTGGGCAGGTGTGGCTCCTCCTGAGGGGCCTCGCCGGCTCGATGCGGGTGCTGTTCTGGAGGGGGGGGGGGGGGCTGGTTTCTCCTCTCCTCCTCCTCCTCCTCCTCCTTCTCCTCCTCCTCATCCTCCTTCTCCTCCTCCTCCGCCTCCTCCTCCTCCTCCTCCTCCTCCTCCTCCTCCTCCGTTCCCCCTTTTCCTCTTCTCGGGAGAAGCGGCGGCATGGGGGGGAGGAGCAGGAGGAGCAGCAGGGAGGGGAGGAGCAGCAGCAGGAGGAGCAGCAGCAGCAGGAGGAGGAGGGCCAGCAGGAGGGGGAGGAGGAGGAGGAGTGGGAAGAGGAGGAGGGTAGGACCTCCTACTCCATCCACCTTCCGTATCGATCACTCCTCCTCGTCGCACCCCTATTTTATTGTCCTGGAGCGTGGGATTTGCAACAGGGTCAAGGATGGATGCGAGTGGTTGTCATCATGGGGCTCTCGCCTAGCGCCGTTCACAATTGTTTCAGAACTTTGAAGCAGGTTCAAGGGTGAAAGTGTAGGAAGGGGGGTCAAACTTGGACTTGCTGTAGTGCCGCGCACATTCGTTTCCAACGTGTGCAACAGCTTCAAGGATGAAGCGCATATGGTTTTCAAACGGGTCTCGCCTGAGCGCCGTGCACATTCGTCTTCACAGTTTGCAGCAGCTTCCAGGATACAGCACAGGGGGTTTTCAACATGGGGCTCGCGCTTTAGCGCCGTGCACATTTTTTTGAAGCGATCGCAGCAGCTTCAAGAATGGAGGGTGGGTCTTTTAACAGTATGAGGCTCGCTCCGTAGCGATCCGCACATTCGCCGTGAAAGTTTGCAGCACCTACATGGATGGACGGGCCTTCTTTTCGAAATGTGGCTATCGCCTGAGCCCTACGCACGCTCGTGTTACAGGCGTGCATTCAATACACGGATGGAGGACAGCTTCTGTTCGACAGGATGGTTTCGTCAGATATTCTTTCATGCCAATGGACCGATGCAACAGCTGCACGGTTGAAGGATGATTCATGGTGTTGTCGCTGGAGGTTTCTTCAAAGTGCATGGTCAGACATGTAAAGAACGGGTGCATCAGTTGCGCAGATGGCGGCCGTAGTTTTCCGAAACTGGGATATCACTGGGCAATCCGCTGATATGTATTACCGCATGTGTTACGCAATTCTGTTTAAAGCGTTCGAGAAAAACTGGCTCTCGTCTGAATGACAGCCCCCTGGAAAGCTTTTCTTTCAAGGGGGCGTTTACTGCAGTGCGGGGGAGACGTTTACGGACCCGTGAGGGGGGGCTTGGGACGGGAAGGTGTAGTTATGTTGTTTTGCGCATGGTTGGATATTGGATTTATCATGGTCCTCCTCCTCCGCCTCCTCCTCCTCCTCCGCCTCCTCCTCCTCCCCCTCCTCTTTTCATGTCTCCTCCTCCCACCGCGAAGGGGCTTCGCCGCGCGCGGCGGTTCGCATCATCGATTATGTTGCAGGGCCGCGGCGGGGAGGAGGAGGGACATAGTTCGAGGATGGGCAATGCCCCTTTTTCCCTCCCCCTCTGCTCCCACCTGTGCTTGCACGAGTGGGACCTCGACCAGTAAAACGAGAAGCCGATACTAAGCACTGTGCCCCCCCCACCCTCGTCCCGCCACGCCCCCCTCCCTCTTGTTCGACATCCCCGTCACCCACCCACCCGGTCCCATTCCCCTCCCCCGCGCTTCCTTGTCCCATTCCGCCCTCTATCTCCGACCGTTCCGTTCCCTTCCTCGCCTGCCCATCCCCCATCGCCTCCATGGTAACTTCTTCTTCGCGCCCACCTCGATCTGTACCTCCTCCTCCTCCTCCTCCCTCCTCCTCCTCCTCCTCCTCCTCCTCCCTCCTCCATCCTCCCTCCTCCTCCTCCTCTTCCATCTCCTCATCCTCCTCCTCCTCCTCCTCCTCTCCTCCTCCTCCTGACCGCCCTGTACCTGCCTCGATCTGTGCTCGCAGGGGGGGAGGGTGCCAAAGATCTCCGGGCACGAGCCGCGCCGCGCCTCGCCTCATCGGCGAGCGCGAGGGCGGGGGGGGGGGGGCGGGAGCGGGGTGGTCGGGCGTGTGGGGGAACGCGCACCCCTCCTCCTGCCACCGTCATCCACCCGTCCGCCTCTTCGTCGGTCCTCATTCTGCCCCGCCTTCTCTCACCCCCCCTCCCCCTGCTCGCCGTTACCCCCCGTCGCCGTCAGCATCGCCGTCATCATCGCCATCACCATCAGTTCCATCATCACCAGCATGCTCCTTGTGTCCCCGCAAATTACCCCCTCTGGTCATCCCCATCCGCCTTCTCGGGCGGGGAAGGGGAACATAACTGGCGGAGGCGAAGAGCGGGAAAAGAGAAGAAGGAGGCGCGGGGGAGGGGGATGGGACCAGGTTGGTGAGTGCTGGGGATGGCGGATATGGGGCCGGGGGCGCATGGGGGGACGAGGGTCGGGGGGAGGCGGGGGAGAGGAAGGATGGGGGAGGAGGAGGAAGGAAGGACTGGTGAGAGGAAGCGGACACGGAGAAGAAGGGGCGGCCGGAAGTCATGATGAAAGAGGGATAACGAGGCCGTGGAAACGGCGATGGGAGGACCGTGGTCGTGATCTTCATCATAACCTACATGTTCGCTGTCTTCGGCGTCGTGCTTATCAGGACAACTCTTGCCCGCCTCTTTGTCGTCCCATCCCGCCCTCCTCCTTCTACTCCCAGTCCTTTCCATTATCGTTAAGGGCTCCGCCCTTTGCCGCCAGCCCCCTCTCTCGGAGAATGGGGTATGCAAGAGTTATGTTGTGAGGCCTGGGCGCCGTCGTGAAGCAGCGTCGAAACTCCGACCGGGGGCCACTGGGGTTCGGGTCCTCCGTCTCGGGTCACTCCAGGGGCCGTCTGGGGGCCCTCTTGGGCCGTTTTAGGGGTTTCTTGAGCCGTCTTGGGGCCCTCTTGAACTGCCTTGGGGCGCTCTTGAGAGCCTCTTGGGCCGTCTTGGGGCGGTCTTGGGGGACCTTTTGGGCCGGCTTGGAGCTTCGAAAGCCCGAACAAGCGAGCGTGCCAAAATCCATACAACAAAAACTGAACGAACATCGCAGATGTTGGCATCCTGGGGCTTGCTCTTGGAGCCCTCTGGTGGGCCTCTTGGGAGCCTCTTGGCCCGTTTTGGGACCACCTTGGGTGCCTTGGAGCAGTCTTGGGTCATCTCGGATGCCTCCTGTACCATCGTCGGAACCTTTTTATGAAGGACTGTGGCCTCGAAAGCGCGCACATCAAGTATCTCACGAAGGTTTGTGATTTCGGGGGCGCGAAGAACCCGTAATCTGCGAGGTATTTGTTCTGGGAGCGCAGACATTGCGTAATACTAGAAAGTATTGCCTCCGAGACGCCAGTATCGCGTGATCTACAAGGAATTATGATCTCGGGAGCGCGAACCCAGTGTGATTTGCGAGGGCGGATGGCCTCGGGAACGCGAAGATTGCTTCATCGACAAGGGAGTATGGCTTCGGGGGCACGGATATGGAGTACTTTATTCTGGGTTCGGGGGCGCGAATCTCACGTAGTTTTATGTCTCCCCGGACCCCCAGAAATGCTTGAGAACCCCCCCGAGGTGGCGGTGACCAGGGCTCTTTTTGGCTCCCCCCCCCTCGCGCGGACTTCCACACTTCACAGTAATAAGGCAAGAGAGCAGGACCAGCACATTGGAGGCTGGAAACTGGAACTGGGGCAGGGAGCCGCTGGCCTACCCCGCGGCGGAGCCTGGTGACCCCACCAGGAGGCCGGCGGACTCCTCGCGTCTCCTCCTCCTCCTCATCATTCTTGACAGTTCTCCTCCCAGCTCCGCCCTCTCGATCTATCCCTCTCATGCTTATCCTGCTGCTGCTCCTCCTCCTCAGTCCTTTTCGCGCTGGCTCGAATGCCAGCCTGTGCCTGGCGCCATCTGTATCCATGTATATATGTATGTATATATATATAAATATATGTATGTAGGTGTGCACTTCTATATTTCTATATATATACACATATATATGAATACCAAACTAATGCAACTGTGGATATATGTATACATTTACATATTATGTTCATGTATTTACTGATCTCTACAGAAACCTTAACAGCGATTTCATGTAGGGGTTCTTACTTCCTTCTTCAGGATCCCTGGCCCCTGCGCGGCCCCATGGCGGCCCCGTGCCCGTCCGTCGCCGCACACCTCTTCCGTACCAAAAGTGGTGCCGAGGGCGGGCATGGCGGCCGTGTTTCCTGCCGTCGCCAGCGCCCCGTGGTACGCCCCCCCCCGTCCCCCGTTGCACTGCGCCGAGTGCGGCCTGGCGGCCATGTTCCCTTCCGTCGCCGGCGCCCCGTCCCCGTGGTACGCCGAGGAGGAGGAGGAGGAGGAGGAGGAGGAGGAGAGGAGGAGGAGGAGGAGGAGGAGGATAGGAGGAGGAGGAGGAGGAGGAAGGAGGAGGGGGGGAGGGAGGAGGAGGAGGAGGAGGAGGAGGAGGAGGAGGAGGAGGAGGAGGAGGAGGGAGGAGGAGGAGGAGGAGGAGGGGAGGAGGAGGAGGGGGAGGAGGAGGAGGAGGAGGAGGAGGAGGAGGCCCCCCCCCCCTGCCCCCGTTGCTTCGCGATCGCGCTGCAGTTGCGGGCGCAGAGTGGTGCCATCGCAGTGCGCTGCCCTGCGTTGCTCGGCACTGCTGCGCACGGCGTGTCTTTGCTCTGCATGGTGGTGCACTGATGTGCACCGCTCTGCAGCGAGTCCCCGCTCATTGCCTCGTTTTGCCTTACTCTGCATCGCTTCGCATGGCGTTGCGTCGCTCTGCAGTGTTGTGCGTTGCTCTGCATTGTTTTCTGCACCGCATTGGTGCACTACCCAGGATGCACCACAGTGGTTGCACCACTTAGCTTGCACTGCGCATGTTGCAGGAATTCACGGTTTGGGGTCCACGCTGGCTACATGGGGATATTGCTGGGGGAACGTACGGATGTTGTATGCATTGGAAGAACAGGATATGCGTCTTCCGGAACGACCGAATACGAGGTGAGTGTCACACAGGACATCACGAGTGCAAGAGGCCAGTGCGCGGGAGGGCGAGTTGAAACCAGAACGTCGTGAGGGAATGGGTGAAGGTATACTCACGTACAACCAAGAGTTCTCGAAGGGGGAAGTTGTTTGACAAGCGCGGAGGCGAGAGTGCCCTTCGGATCGGCCGCGGACGTTCCAGTGGGAAGGCACACTAAACATAAGAGTCCTTGGCTGCGTGGTTGAAGGGGGGGGCTCCGCGGTACGAAGTCTCGCTGTTCGTCGTCCTCGCCCGCGGCCAGCCCGCGATTCACCCGCCACCCGCGACCCGCCCGCGCCCCGCCTGCGTCCCGCCCGCGGCCCACCCGCGGCCCACCCGCGGCCCGCCCGCGACCTATGCGTGACCCATCCGCGGCCCACCCACTCCCATTGTTTTGGCGGAGCTTCGGCGCCTGCGGCGGGTTCGTTGTGTGACGTGTGTTTCCTTTCTGGCGCTTGCGGCGGGTTTTTTTTTACCGGGCTTTGAGGCTGCGGAGGCCCCCCCCCGCCCCCGGACTCTCACCCGCAGGGAGAGGGGAGCAGGCCAGACGAAGGCAGAGGTTTGGCAGGTCAGTGGACAGTTGATCGGAGGCGGGGGAGGGGGGGAGAGCGGGGGGAGAGGAAAGGGAATGACGAGGGGGGCCTGACAGTGCCTTTTTCCTGCCGCCCCCCTCGTAACTCATCCCGTCCATGGTTCTTTCCCTCGTCGTCGTCGTGCCAGTTCCTCTCCCTTCTCCTCCGCCGACCTGCCCCGCCTGCACTTTCCGCCCGTTCACCTGTGACAGTCCCACGGCCCGCCCCCCAGTCTCGACATAGAGGACGTCTACCACGAGATGCTGCGCGAGAAAGAGCAGGCCATATGGTGGTGAATGCCACCTTGGCTCGTCTTCTTCCCCTTCCTCCTACCCCTCCTCCTCCTCCTCGTCCTCTCCGTCCTCATCCTCATCCTCTCCGTCCTCATCCTCATCCTCATCCTCGTACGTCATGGGCTGATACGGCCCGCCCGCTCCGCGTGCTGCGGTTGCAGGCCACACGCCCATACCCATACCCATCCCTTTCTGTCCTCACCTGCTCTTCGTTTACCCTTCATCAGCCTCCCTTCCCCTCGCGACCCTCAGCACAGCCATCCTGGCATTTCGGTGTGGCCCGCCTGATCTCTGCATCGAGCAGGCCATGAACAACTTCACGGGGTACGCCGACTGCAGCGTTGCAGCCAACGACGCCCTCGCTTGGACGGCATCGAAGCCGGAATTCGACGCGCTCTGCGACCTGCCCAAGTC